CATTGAACTAGTACCATTGATGATATCAGCCACCCCACATCGAGGCACCACCATCTTTGACACTGTCGGACCATCCAAGTTTCCGGTGGCGTTAAGATGATAATTCAGTTGGTAAGTTTTGATGGCAGACTGGAGGAAATTGTCGAAATCGTCATCGTGGGCATGGGTCGTTTGATTTTCAGAGTGAGGATAATTCAAGTAACCAAATTTGTTAAGGTACTTTTTGAGCTCATTGAGCCCTTTAACCTTTTCACCCTTGTGACACCCTTGCAAATGCTTGATAAATTCGAAAGGTGAGGGTTTTTTATCACCCTTTTTTGGTTCTTCAACCTTTGCATAGGCAAGGAGAGGAAGGAGTAGGACGAGGAGGGAGATGAATGAAAAGAGCTTAGGAATTATAGTTGCCATGGTTGAGCTTTGTGAGTGCTTGTTGGCTTATATGTTTACTCATATGATATGTCCTAGTTCTATTTATAGGTAAAAAAAGGTTCAAACTATGATGTTTATGTTACTTTGCCCCACAACTTTTGATTTTCTCACATTAGTCCCTCAACTACCTACACTGTTTTACGCTATGCAAAACACAAACATTCATCATCTTTTAGACGACAAATGTTAAAAAGTGAAACAAAATCACTCAATTTGGGGTACAAAGTGAAATAACTTTTTGTCAAATTTTTAAAGGATGTTAACCATTGGGACACAGTGAAACTAATAACAATAGTTAAAAGTGAAATATGAGAAACAAAGATGGTTAAGGGTATAAAATGACACAAAGTTTATAGGTTGAGGGGACAATATAATTAATCCAAAAATTATATTGACTCTGAAAGTTTGGCTGTTTCCGAGTTTTTTTCTTGGTCCACAGACAATTAATTTATAATTGACGATTTTCTTTAAGTTTGAAATTTTGAATAGATGTTAATAAATGACCTTTTCTCCGATGGTACTTTGAACCTTGAAAAAGTTTTTCTCAACTTAGAAAGACTTCTCAGATCAGGCAATATTAGTTTTTTTTTTTTTTTGCTATAAGGTTATCAGACTTGTCAGGCTTGTGTGAACTATTCACTCGAATTTAGTGGTCGACCACCGTAGCTAAAGAAGATTGTACTGAATTAGAGCATGTCCATAAAAGGACAAGGATAGCTAGTCTTTAAAGGTGTGAGAAAAGATTGAACCTGAGAGTTCTGACCAGACTCAACCACTAAATCATCTTAAGAGTTAGCCAATATTAATTTATATTAGGGGTAACCCGTGCCTCAAAATACGGTACACTCTAAATGATTTTGAGAAGAATATTAGCAGTCGTTTAATAAATCTATTTAAAACCGTTAAATAAATTTATTAAAACATCCTTGTTTTATATTATTATAGATGTTAATGATTCTACTAGAAAAATGACTTAGTAGTATAGGGTTTATCACATGCCCGTTTATTGCGGGAAGATGAGAAATCAAAGCAGAAGAAAAAGTATGTTACACACGTAGCCCATAATTGGTTTATTCATTTTACACGCATAATCGAAACTGGTCAATACACGTTATCAGTTGCTTCTACTAGGCTTCTATTCAATTTTTTTCGTCTAGATATGATCCTAAAAAGTGGTTTCTCAGTATCGTATCTTTCGATAAAAATTTTAATACTTGTAAAATCTTTCATAATTAATAGATATAAATCAATCAAACACAAGATTTATGATTGTCGATCAAATTCGACATACTTATACTTATCATAATTTTTAATGATTGACAATCATCAGTACGATTCACTAATCTGACACGAAACAAACACAAAGTTTTAGTCTTAATAGACAAATCATAATTTGGTGACCGTCAAATTCACTTAATAAATCGATTAATACGAAATAAACTAAGCACATTATGAATCGGACTAAGTACAACCCATTGACGATACCGACCATATTATAAATGACTATAAATGGATTAGATATAAATTAAGTACGACTCAAGTTACAAAATTTAAAAATATTATTTCATTGAGAACCTCATCGTTAACACAAACCCTCTTTCCGCGAAACACGCAAATGACATTTTCATGTGTTAACTGTATAGTATTAAAGTGGTGTTTGATAAAATTGAAAGTTGAATATTGAAAACTGAATGTTGAATTTTATTACTGAATGCTAAATTTCTAATTCGTAGACTGTTTGCCCACTGAAATTTACATAATGCATTAAATCACGTTGTTTGATAATTACAAAGCTAATATCTGAAAAATAAGTTAACTTAATTATAAAAGGTTAAACCGTTGAATTTGAGAATTAAGTACTTAACTTTTTAAGAAAATCGCCAATTATGCATTGATTGATTCTGTAGACCAAGTAAAAGCCGCATTTCCATTGAAAGAACTGGACGAAAAAAAAAACTTGGAAACTGCCTAACTTTCAGCGTCAATATAGTATTTGGGTTAATTACATTTTGTTCCCTCAAACTATGAGCTTTGTGTCACTTTATCCTCTCAAACATCATTTTTCTCATATTTTGCATTCAACTACTTTTATGAGTTTCATATTGCCCCAAAGATTACCATCCGTTAGAAATTTGTTTCACTTTATCTATTGAACCGAGTGATTTTGTTTCATTTTTCTCCAAGATGTTGACATTTATAGTCCAAAAAATAATGGAAATTTGCGTTTTGGACAACATAAAACCAATGTAGGTAACTGATTGAATAATATGAGAAAATCAATAGTTGAAAGGACAACGTAACGTAAACATCGTGAACTCACAAGCCCGGTCATGGCACCTATAATTTCTAAGCTCTTTACATTCATCTTCCTCCTCTTTCTACTCTCTTGTAATGTAACATGCAAAAGTAGAAAAGCCAAAAAAAGGGTCAAAAAACCCTCTCCTTTCGACTTTATCAAGCATTTGCAAGGTATCATAAGAGTCGCCCGGTTATGGCACCTATAATTTCTAAGCTCTTTCCATTCATCTTCCTCCTCTTTCTACTCTCTCTTGTAATGTAACATGAAAAAGTAGAAAAGCCAAAAAAAAGGTCAAAAAACCCTCTCCTTTCAACTTTATCAAGCATTTGCAAGGTGTCATAAGAGTTGGTCAAGTGATAATATAAACAAATTATAAATTCAAATATTTGAATTTAAATTTTAGTAACTTTTGAAATCAAATCATAAAAGATTTATTTCCCATAAATACTGATAATGTACAAAATAATCTCATACAAGATCAATAATCGAGTGTGTGATAAAGTGTAATGAATAGACAATTAATAGAGCAATCAATTGTAATAATATAAATATCGAGTTAACACACAGATGTATAGTGATTTAGTTAGGGTGACCTACACCACTTCGAGAAATGGCAACAATGACCGAGAGACCTTTATTGATAAAGTAAGGTAAACAAGAAAGAGAATACTGATTAGTTCCGAGAGAGTTACAATAGTTAGGAGAGAGAAAAGTTATGTATAAGATGTGTAGAGATAGATTAAGAGATGCCCTCTCATATAGAAAGAACTTACAATTTATAGGCATAAAGCCTTGGTTAAGGCGGTCATGTGAGAACAAATGTACTAATTCTCCAGGTAGCTACAAAAAAGTAAGTGTCATAAAAGGTTGTCTTAATTTTCGAGAGTGAGTATCCCAATAATTCTCTTCGCGTGCTCTAATTTTTTTTAGACTCTTCAAATCTTGGGTTGAGTCAAATTTACGAACTGGTCTTGACCTGTCTTTTAACTGACTTTGACTTACTTGATTTATTAGGTCTGACTCGGTTAGATTTGGACTCATCAAATACTACAGTCTCGACATTAATGACCTACATTTGATTGGATCCAAGAAAAAATTAGTTGAATTGTGCATAAATTAATTCAAACACGTCTGGCCATTAAAAAAAAAAAGGGGACAATGAGCATAAAAAGTACCTCAATGAATTTGGTTACCAACTCCATGCGAGCAGGCAAGAAAAGACACCACCATGGCAATAACTACTTCCATACAGTATCTCTTTACACTTTCTTAGATGGCAACCCAAGATGGCCAGCCCATAAAACCCATCTCACCTATGGTTTGTTATCTAATACCCTTCCTGATGCCATGGGCAATTCAAAAATGGGCATCTGTATCACATTTCATATTCACGAGGAATGATGATTTTCCAATGCTGATATTAAGATTGGTTTCCATGGCGGTGATCATGGAGATGAGAGCCCATTCGATGGGCGTGGCAGGTGTTGTCCGTATTAGGGTGAGTTTTGTTAAGCGTCTGTACGGTTAGGGAGAAAAAACCAGAACATGAAAATGGTAGAAATTAAAGTGAAAGGAAAAAATATTATAAAAATTATATTTTCATATATATATTTGATTAACATGAAAAATTTGCGTAAAAATTTTTAAAAAAAAAATCATTCTATTATTTAAAGAAAAGAAGGTTACAAGAATTTTTTATTATTATTTAACTTACACTTAATTATATTAAATCAGTCTAAAGAAAAAAAATATATGTATTATAATTAAAAAAAAAAAAATTTTAAAAAGCTCATAACCTAATTCTTGGGCAAGCACCAATGCGAAGGTGTTTGGATTAAATTATATGGTTAACCAAATTCTTACAAAGATTTTTTAAAATTAATAACTAATAAAATATTTTAAGAAAAATAAGGATAAAATATGAAATTATTTATGAATCACAACTTTCTTGTATTTTTTTGTTATTTTTTACAAGAAACATGTAAGACAACTATTTTTTTTATTGTTTTTTATTTCATGTTAACCAAACACGTGAAAATTTTAAAAAATTTCTTCTTATATTTTTTACCATTTTCCTGCTAAAATGTTGATGAGGTGTGATCTATTGGTGGCCGATGCTTTCAACTTGGATGGATAGGATTAAGGACATGTATAACGTTTGAAAAATTATGATAAAGGATGAACCTTCACTACTTACTGGTAGATCCAAGTGAAGACCATGTACTACAATAGGACATTATATTTTCCAATGAGAGATTAATTCTTGCAAGACGGCTTACCTCCAAACACATATAATCTCTCTTATTATAAACTTGCGAGACTACCACTGCATATATATATTTACATCACTTACATACTTTACCCTTACTAACTTTAGCATCGGAATACCTCTACGGGCAAACTGGTGGCCCTTTGATTAGTTTTCTAATCCTGCAAACCATGGAAAAAGCCATCAACAGTTTATAGGTAACCATCCAACCCACTTTTCATCAACAATAATACTGAAGCTTATATACGCTTTCTTTCACAGAAATTAGCCATCATATCATGTCTTACTCTTGTGGAATCTGCACAAAATTATGAACATTACCAAGCTTAATGCACTTAACAAGGCTAGAAGCCAGTAATACTTATCTAAGCTGGCTTCTGTCATATCATCAGAGAACCAGCTCTGTCTTCCTCCTCCTCTTGAACTCGTCGTAAATTCGATGACAGAGATAAGAAATGCACTTAAAAAGCTTCCTAACCCAAAAACACTAGTGTATAGAGCTATTCCCATTGTCCTCATCTTTACAGGAACTTCTGTATAAAAGAACTCTTGCATCCCCACAACTGTGAAAACATCAGAAATGCCCAAGAGAATGTATTGAGGTAACAACCAGAAGATGCTTAATGGTACTGTTTCTGAATTTGATCCTGAAATCCCCATCTTTCTACTAATTGCAAGCCTCTCTGTTTCAACGATGGCTGCTATAGACATCGCAACAACTGACAGAAACATTCCAATACCCATCCTCTGCATCACACTGATACCTTTCTCACTACGTGTGATTAGACGAGTGAGTGGGATGAAGAGCATTCTATATAAAGGCATTGAGAGAATTACAGACACGGTGATTGCACTCTGTAGTGTTGCTGGTGGGATCTTGAAGTTGCTACCTATGTTCCTCTTCATTGTCATACCTTGTTTAGTGAAGAATGTAGCAGGCTGTTGGAATATGACAGCAAACATTAGAAGCATTGTCCATATTGGCAGCAGACGAAGCACTACTTTCGCAATTTCAATTCCATCATCCGAGTTCTTATCCAAGCCCTCAATTCCATCAATGTCTTGATGACAAAGGCCACTTTCTTCAAGCCTGTTAAATAAACCCTGTCATTAGTACTAAATCAGTTCAACATTGTAATCAATCCTTCTTCAAAATCAATTGAGAAAACTTACTCCAGCTCCACCACTTCAGATTTCCTAGTTGATATCTTGATTCCACCATTTATAATTCTCGATGCAGTTGCTTTAATGGCTCGAACTATGTTTTCAAGTGACTTAATATCAAAACTCTTTTCTTGTTTATACGTATAAAATCTTCTCCCACAAGAAAAAATTACAATTGATGCAGACATTGCTATTGTAGGAATGGCAAATCCCAATCCCCATCCTATTGTGTCTTGGATATATGACGTGAACGAGATCCCTAGAAGGCAGCCACTACATATACCAAAATACCACCAGTGGAAGAACAAAGACTTCTTGTCAGAATTCTGGTAACTCTTGCAGCAAGGCAGTTCCTCTTCATTTTCAAGTTGATCTGCTCCAAAGGCTTGTAAGGAAGGGTTATATGCACCTTGACCTAGTGAAATCATGTAGAGAGACAAAAAGAGTGATGAAGAGGAGCTGGCTCTCTTTGTAGGAATCCAATGCCATTCCAGTGCTGTTGATGTCAATGCTAGAAGCCCCTACAAAGAAGAAAAGAAGAAATTTACACAACATCCTATACCCATGAAGTGACACACTAATATTGTTGGGATAGTCGAGGACTCATATTTACCACACCCAAAAGTTTAATGACCTGTCCTCGTGGTACGATATATTTACATTGAGACATTTTCAATGTATATTGAATAATATGTAATGTTATAAGGATTAAAGTTCTCAAATGATAATAATACATGAGTTGTAACTTGTAACTGAATTGAGACTGTGATACAATGAACGTAAGCTTTTCCTATTTCGGCTTGGAATTAAAATACTGAACAGGAAAGGAAAACCGTCCAGCCCTTCAAGCCCTACTAAGGAAAGGGGGATGTGTTCTTGGTTGTTTCAACTCCACTTCTGCTCAACATTGATACTCTCACATACTTCTTCAAGCGGCAAAACACTCAATGCTCAAGCAGTTACACCTTATTAATTTCATACTCCTTTGGTAAAGTCAACAACCATTCAGTGAATTGTCTTGTGTTATTACCTTTCATTAAATTCACTTAATCCTTCACGATGTTTTGGTGTAGGTACTTGTGCATTGAAGTCTTAGAGAGCTGCTGTAGCAATTTAGTGAACCACATAAGTATGTGTATTCTTTGTTTCATTGTTTTTTATTATTATTATTAATTGTTCACAACATTACACGCTCATGAATGACCAGACATGCATCTAATACCATGAAAATGATGCCCCTTCCTCTGCAAAATATAGTAATGACATTAAAGAAAGTTGAGGAAAAGTGTATTGGAAAAGATAATAGATCCAAATTCATCCCCATACTTAGCATAGACTTCCCACCAATGATATAAAATTCTATTTCCAATCACCAGTAACTGCTGCCTGATGAGATACCCAAACCAGACAAAGTATTTTAACCAAAATATTTTTAGCTATTTACCAGAAAAACAAAACACAAGGTAATTTTAGTTGCAATGGATAGAAAGTTTTGTATATACCCACAGTTTCAAAACGCTCAAGCATCGTAGTTAGTTTAATTAGGAGTGACAATCGTGTCATGTTGGATTATATTTGTGTCGAATTATTTTAAATTCGTATCAAACGCTAGCAGTCTTAACTCAATCTATTTGATTTACTTATTTTCATGTCGCGTTGTATCGACTTATTTATTTTTGTATCGTGTCGTGTCGATCTATTTATTTTCGTGTCTTGTTCATGTTGATCCATATAATTCGTGAATAAAAAATTTAATGCTAAATTTTATATTTAAAATTTCATTGTCACTTAATTGAACTTATATTCATGTTTTTTTTATAAACTAAAAATTAATTTAATAAATATAACAATAAAAATAATACAATATTTTTTTTGTACAAGAATTAGGTCACTACTTGACAAAATATAATAAAAAATTAATGTTTTATTCTTATAATATTATTTAAACGTATTAATTATCGTGTCAATTTTTGTATTATTCGTGTTTGACACTAACACAAATCATTTATTATTTGTGTTAGTAGGTTGTGTCATATATGAGTTCGTATTTAAAAATAATCAATCTTAACTAGTTGATTTTGTGTCATATTCTCGTGTTGTATCAAAAATTGTTACCCCTAATTCCAATTGCAAAAAAAGAAAGAGCGACCTAAAAGGAAAAGCTTGTAAATTATAAGAACGAACGAAAAGAGTACACACCAAGGCGTATAGGAGAGAAGAAGCAATGATGGTGGAGTGCCGGCCCCAATAAGAGTCTGCGAGGGGTGCCATTAGGAGTGGCAGCATGGACGTAAACCCACACCAACTGCTAACCGTCTTGGCCGCCGTTGAGTTGCTCATCTTCAAAACATCTGTGAGATAAGTGACCAGATTGGACACCACCCCTTTGAATGCAAACCTCTCCATACCAGCTATGACTATCAACGCAAGATCAGAACAAAAACAAAAAAAGCAGTAGTTAGATATATATCTCACCCTTTCAACAATCACTACTTCATATTTCACTTAGCATAGAAAAAAAATTATGGTTAACTAAGTCGAGTCGAGCTAGTTTGAGTATACTACAGCAGTACAGAGAGCCGTGGATATGACTGGGAGAACTAATTCTAGGCAAATTTAACCGAACTACATGATGCTTGGATTTGATTTTTTTACAAAATGAGCTTAAAATTTTAATTTAATTCACTTGAACAAGCTTCAACATGTCAAAATCAAGCAGTTGAAAGAATAAAAAAAAAGAGAGAGAGAAAGAAGTTGCAGAGTTATTATACCTATGAGAAGAACACATGGCCTGTTGAGTCCCTTTGGTCTCTGTCCTCCAGCCATGAGAGATACTCTGAGCTAGAACTGTAAGATGGAAGATAGAAACTAAAATGAAGGAAAACACATACTATCCTGCAAATTTCTACTATGGTATGTTTTCTGTTTCCTTGCAATCACACTCAAAAGTCTCGGTCACCCCTTTTAACGTAACCCAAAAAATTTATTGGTTCCACCACTGATTTTCTTTCCTAAAAGTATGACAAACTATATCCTTCGTTTTTTTTTTTGGGGGGGGGGTTCAATGGACACACTAGACAATCACTAAAGCTATTGCAAAGTTGGTAGTAAAGAAAGAAAAAAAAAGCCATTCCTCTCTTTCAGTTGGCTGTGTCGTCACGGTAAGCAATATGTCGACATGCAATGAACCCAAGATCAAATTACCGGTGTTTTTTTTTTTTTCGGTAAGTAAGAAGAAAAATGTTGATTAATTGTACAAAATTTTAATTTTAATGGTCTGTTTGGTAGTGTGGATGAAAAAATAGAAAAATAAAAAGAGAAAGTGATACATTTTCTATTATTTAAGGGATGAACCATTTTTCTCTTTATTGTGTTTGGTAAGAGGGATGAAAATTAAGAAAAATTAATATTTTTTTGTGTTTTATAGGATGGAAAAATAATTATTTGAAAAAATATTACCTATATATGAAATTATATGTAATTGATAAATATAATATATGTATATATCAAATGATATATAAATAAATAACATATATTTTAACACACATAATTAACATTTTATCTACTTTTTTTTTCCAATTTTAGAGAAATTAATTTTAATGAATTAAAAGAAAATTTAATTTATTCACTTTTCTATCTTTTTTTTTTATCAAATATAATATTTTATCTATCTTTTTAATTTTTTATTCTTCAAACTTTTTCTTTTTTATTTTTTTATCGTAACAAAAGAAACATTACAATAACAATGACTCGGTCATATCATTTTATTTTATTTTATTTTCAAGTCGGTACAAATTATCGTCAGGCTAACCATGCAAATATAGACACCCGCTTGTAAATTGACGTGTGATGTGTCAATTATGTCCACATGGGCAGTCTATCGGAGTGCCGGCTCATAGCTCCATGCAGAGCCCTAATGGCAATATATAGGAGTGTAATGTAATTTGGATTTAAAAATTTAATATAATTAATTGATATAATGATGTGGATTCAATAAAATCATTGAATCAATATCAAATTTCAATATTTGATAGGTCCCACAGTCAATTTAAAGATTATAGTGAATTAAGTCAACAAATTAGATTAATAAATTAGATTATAATAACATTGCTATGTTAATAATTTGATTTTTGAGCAGAACAACTAACATAGAAAATGTTGTCAACGGTATGGGTGCGAAAGTGTGACACAATTTGTTAATGGGGCACGAAATTACAGAGGCTTAGAGGCTTAGTTTTTTTCAAGACTCTCATTTTGTAAAAGAATGTATCAGATATAACACAATTAATAAACAAATCGTGTGAGGGATCGACCTCCCCATTATCGGGGATATACCTCTCTCCAAGAGCAAACCTCCCCATTACCGGGGATATCCCGCTCTCCATCAAAGGATTTCGGCTTTCGGCTGACCTGCGAGGCAAACCCCCACAGTAGCCTTTACCTCTGTCCCACATCGGGGAAAGAGTCATCTCCCCACCCCCATATAAGCCGAAGCACCATATGAGAGCAGTAGTGCTACTTGGGTACTGCTCTCATATGGTGCTTCGGCTTATATGGGGGTGGGGAGACGACTCTTTCCCCGATGTGGGACAGAGGTAAAGGCTACTGTGGGGGTTTGCCCCGCAGGTCAGCCGAAATTCTTTGATGGAGAGCGGGATATCCCCGGTAATGGGGAGGATTGCTCTTGGAGGGAGGTATATCCCCGGTAATGGGGAGGTCGATCCCTCACAAATCGGTTATGATTGAAATTAATTAAAAGAAATATGACTCATTTATGTATAAGTTATGTTGGACTAAAAGCAGATTTTAGTAATAAAAATTTCATTTTTGATTGACTTTGAACCTAAATTAAAGTGAGACTCATTCGTTGTTTAAAGTAAATTTTTTTAAGTTCATGTTCTACTCTATGAGGAAAATAACGTAATATATTCACTTATACAAATCGAGTAAAAAATGAATAAGAAAATATGCTCAAAAGTAACTCTCTTGAAATGTGAAAATAGAGGTGGTGCAATATGGGATTTGACATCAATCCCACATTAGTTGAGAAAGAAATTATACATAAACATATATATGCCAAGTATGCTCCATGGGGTTGAGCCCCAAAGGATACTATACTTTTATGAGTAGAACGAGTACTTACATGCTTTCGATTTTATCGTACACGCGCGCCGCCCGCCTCACCTCACCATGACCCGGCCAGGCAGGGTGTGATTTAAACCAAACCTTGTCTTTTTTAAAAAAATTATTTAAATGAATTAGGAGTAAATTTTTGATCCGATACCAATTTTATTTGAATTTGCACTGATTTGAATTTTGTCTCCCTTCCAGTTCGTCTTCTATCTGCATATTACTAGATTGTGTCTTTTTGTATGGTGGCTATTCGAAACAATCACCAGTTTATTTATATAAACCTAAGTTCATTACCATTCTATATCAATCATTTTCAAAGTTAAGACAGACATTAATATTATACATTTCGGAATTTGGAGAGTACATAAAATAATTTTTGATTCGTTGGGCGAATATATTGAAGTGTTACTTTTATGCACGTGAAAATCACTGTATTCTGTGAGGAAGACGCTTTGATTTCTATTAGCACTAAGTGTGGGGGTAAAATCTATCTTAAAGACATATGTCAAACACTAGTGTTAATCTACTTAAAGTTCAATAGCAGTTTATGTTCTGCAAACGAGTTAGTTTTTATTTTGTTTAAACACAAATTTATTATGTTACTATTTTGTTCGTATGTAACTATTTCGTTCTTTATTGTTATTGTTTTGTTTTAAATTGTATATTTCAAATCAAAAATCTCAATAAGTGATTTTATTATATTTAGAATATCACAAACAACAAGTTATACTTAACACGAACTCAATATGACTTTATTTGTTAGACATGAATCAATTAACAAAATGTGTATAATTGAATGCTTTTTGACACAATTCTGATAAGACTCAACGTAAATGAGTTTCACTCAACACAATTAACAATCTCAAGTCCAAACACCACCTCCAATAAAAACCTAATTTTTAGAGGAGTGGATGGAGAGTTTAATCAATTAATTTGAAACTTCTATCACAAATGATATAAAATTTCATTTTATTCATTTTTTTAATACAAATAAAGGAATACATTTAAATTTTGGAAATATTTTACTCTGCAGCACCTCTTTATTCATCTTTGAAAATCCAAATATATTTGAATAAAGTTAGTAATAATTCTTATTTTTCCTCATTTTATCAAATTTCAATTCTCTCCAATATGTCATCTTGTTTCAATGGTAAAACTCTCATTGTAAATGAACAAGAGATTAACTAACATGTAAAGTTTTTGTTTTTATTATTAAACTACATTTCAAGTTAAAAAAATAAATAGATATTGTTTTAAAGGACCTAAATCTTACAAAGTCATGACGCGTCTTACTTTTCTCGGTAATAATTGAGTAATATTATTTAAATTTAATTATTAGGTTAATAATGAGTTTCAATATTTATTAAAACTCAACTAAACAAATAATTATGACAAATTATATAAATAAATTATATTTGTAAATTAAATTCAAATAACACTATTAATAATAATTATTTCCTAAAAAGAAAAGGTCAAAACTTGCGTTACGGAGTAGCGTGGGGGCTATCGCACTCAGCCATGGACATGTTCCACCCCATGCCGGCACGCACTTTCACACACAAACCTCGTGCTACTAGATTACCAATGAAACACGCATGAAAATGCTATGACATTCCAATCGTACTATGTCACACATCATTATTCATTATCCAACAACAATTGAATCTCGCATACATTAGTTAGTTACGACGTTGGAATGATATCAAAAATGTGTAATAAATATAATTATTTTGAGTTTGAATATTGATAACTCTTTAAAATTATGTTATGAGAAGTTTATCGTTCATAAATACTCTAATTTTAGTGTGAATGATTTGTCTTTGATCGAATAGTTCCGACAAACAAAAATCACAATCATCAAACACTAATGCCCAACAAGTCTCTCCTGCACCATTTAGAATGGACTAAAAAAATTATGGTGGTCACCTATATGCATCGATGACAATAACATCTTTGAAATGATTTTGTCTGCTTCTATTGGAAGCAACTCCAACCTTAGATCATATAACTATTACACTGAGAGTTAATCAAAACTATTCTTAACATCTATTCAATATATATATTTCTCTGCCTTATTTTTATTTTTATAATTTTTTAATATAATTAAATTGAAAAAAGACTTCGAAGTAGGTAAAAGAAGAAGAATCTGGGTGTGCACACTCCTGTCTGTTTGGTGTTCCATGCCTGCATGTCCACTGAAATCCTGCGCACTTCCTTCTCCCAACAGCTTTGCGATCAGATAAGCAAACACAACACTGTTGACTTTCATCAAACACTTGGTGTGCACCGTATGAGAGACAATCAGTACACGCCACCATGGGAAAAATATCCATGTTCAATGGAAACTAAGCGACACCAGAATGTGACTTTTGTAGTGGCTATGCTATTTGACAGGATCAAAGTGATTTCCATGGCATCAAAGCACCAATTATTTACAGTCAGTGGCCATCATTGATCAAATGGGTCCATGAGTCCATCCTACACATGCATGGAGATCTTGCTTTAATAATTGCTTAGTAGTGCTATACCATCCCGCAATTGTCTTTTGGTTTTCCACCACTCTACTGTCGTCTTGAGGTTAGTGGTGTTAATTAAGCTAATCCTGAGTAGTGGTGGTGAAAGATTAGAATCGATTGTGACTTGCCTGAACTTGAATGTAAAGAAGTATGGATTCTTAGCCAACTTAAAATAATATAATAAGTGTTCCTCAACCAAAAAAAAAACTCAAAATTCATGTAATCAATTATAAAGTTGAAGAATTTATCTTTTATGAATATCATAGTTTTGGT